TTGCCTAAATCTGATTTTCTGGCCTGTCAAGATGGTATTCACAGAGACCAGGTCTCTCTCATATTGCTTGAAACTACAGTTCAAGTACACTGTGGATCCATATAACTCATTTTCACTAGTATTAGATGCCATCTGAGCGCTTTTTAGAAGCCGCCAGTGCAATTCAAGATTGATCAGCGCAAATTATCCTCTTCTAATATTTCCAGAGGAAGTCTCTTCTTTCGACATCCAGTTCAGTTCAGCGTCATGTTAGTATAGACGTGGGAAGAACCTGGTGCAAGCGTAGTAACCGTTTCAGGATCTGATGTTCAGGGTTCCTGATTCAACTGCTTGTTCAGGGTTCCTGATCTGCTAAGGAATTTTTTGTACTTATTTTTGGTACAACGCTCAGATGTCTTCTGTTGATTGCGACTTTGCTTGATCATGAACCCATATCCAGCAATTATCTGTTTGGAAAATTTTTAAGTTTCAGCAAAAAGCGATGACTGGTCTTTCTAGATTCATAGCAAGTGATTTCAACTTTAAAAGAACGTTTCAGCTCTTATCAGTAAGACCTTTCAAGTAGGTCGTTAAGGTGCCAATTTCGACACAGCTCTTTTATCTTCTCTTCTAGCAGCCTTTACCATGGTAGAATTGGCTGCATTTGTTTCGTGATCTAACTCTAGTGTCTTCTTCTTTGCTAGTCCGACGTATTTTTCACTGGTTCATAAACGTTGTAAGTGCATCTACATAGACCAGGTCACGTTTTTCCTGAAATCCTTAACTTTTTGGCTGGTTTTCCGCCAGCTATTCATCCCCTTGTCTTTAGTGCCTACAGTTGTGCGGCACTTGTGGTGGCTGCGATCATCGTCAAACGGCAGTTCCTTCCATTTGTTGTTTGTGCAAACAAAGTGCTTTCGAACAATGCCTTCAGTTCGCTGTGAATGTCTTTCATCATCGCTGATGTCTGATTGGACCCCTTCACGTCTGCAACCTAATCAGTCTCCAGTTGTTGTTCCTATTTTTTAACCCTGCGAAGGTAGGAAGTTGATTTTTTCTATAGCACTATCACCTTGACTATCGATAACTCCTTGTATCATCACTAGAAAAACTGTGCTCTTGATGTATACGGTCTCGTTTTATGATGGTAACTTACGGTTAAAGATCGCTCCGATTGTATCGGCTAGTCTCTGCTCACGTGCTGTTGCTCCGGAATGCATTTGCTTCTGAAAGGAATGCTTTTTTGAGGTGAACAGTCTTTTCACTCTCCCACTTTTTATGTTCACTTGATTCCAGCATTTTAGCCGAAGGCTTTTGAGACTGTTCGAGGAGGTTTGGGGGATCGGCAACACTTCCCCTTCCCAAACCGGCTACATTTTCATTCACTGTATTTTATTCGTTGTGGCAGCCATATCTGGTATGGCGTTACGGCTGATCACTGTTGTTGCTGACGAACACCA